TAAATGATGAAATAGTAGAAAAATAGAGAAATTTGTATTGAATGGAAAGCTTGTAGAATCTGTATTGTATGTCATTCCCTCCTCCCATTGGGCAACTATTTAGTCATGTTTATAGGTTCCCAAAACAACCAATCGGCCTCCAAAAATAAGATATCTACAATGCTTTCATTGACTATTGATTGGCTCTTTGAGGTCGGTATGAACGGCTCATGATGAGGTCGAGCTGGTGGGTAATTTTAGCTGTATGGATAGTAAGAGAATGAGAATGCTTGCATTGATTGAAGCAAATGAGAGATGTTAGAAGTCTCTCTCCTTGAGGAATATCATTGGCCTCTATTTATAGGCCTCTAATCAAGCAACTTGGCTCTCCTACGTCACATCAGTTACAGTACCGACCTAGAAGTGTGTGTCATATCCTAAATTCAAGGATGCTGATTGGCTATAGAGGTCGGTTGAACAAGTAATCATGACCTAGGTCATGATTACCTGACACCTAGTAATCATTGCTGATTTCTTTTTGGCTGAAAATGAGGTGTTGATGTCTTAGGTTCCATTTGTCAATTTGGGAATGGTTGTCCTGGTGGTAATGACATCATTTAAGGGACACGTGTCCAGAATTGCAATGATGGTATTTTTACATGACTATGGGTCGAGCTGAGCTGCCATGATGGAGCTCATGCATAGAGCTGACCTCGATGTCGACCTAACTTAGTAGAACTCATGTGTAGAGCTAACATCAAGATGAGCTAACCTGCCTCGATAGAGCTGACCTCGAGATGAGTTGACTTGCCTCGGTGGAGCTCATAGGTAGAGCTTACCTCGGGATGAGCCGACCTGCCTCGGTGGAGCTCATTGGTAGAGCTGACCTCCATGAGTTGACCTGGTGATCATTTAGCCCTTCATCTTCGAAGTGACTATTGAATATTCATAAGCTTTCCTTCTTAGATTAAAATATGCCCGAGCTGATTTTTTGGACGTCAACAACTCCATCTGTTCCAATTATATATGTTTGTTTCGTTTTTCACATGGATTAAGAAATCTTCTTTAATGTAATTGAAAAATTAATTTTTACCAAAATCTTTCCTAATTTACCCCTATTTAATTTTCAGTATGTCATAGTAAATTATTGTTGAAATTAGTAAAGAATTTGACTAATTAAATTTGAAGAAGAAGAAATGAGAGTTGTTCCATATTTCCAAGAAGTGATAAATGTGTGTATTTGGATTATTTTAAGAAGTTGGCATATTAAGTGAAGAAAATTGAATAAATGTATACTGATAAAAGAACAAAACAAAATATTCTAAATTAGGAAACAAGCCTATATATTTGGGACAAGAGAAAAAGGAAACACAATCTATATAATTGGGACGGAGGGAATAATTATTTCTCTTTCATATTGAAAGTGATGAAGTAGATTACAATTTACAGATAAGAACCTTCAACAAAACCTCAATAAACCACATTCATGCATGTTACTCCATTACACGTGACTCATTGAATTCATCAATATATCAAGTAAATAATATGCAATTAATTAATGAATCTAGAAAAATACAACGTTTCTTATCTGATGGAATTGAATAGTTTGATAAATGATTCAATGAATGCATGAAATGTATTATTAATTAATATGAATAAAATTTAATAAGGATACTATAGAATAGTGTAAATATAGTCTAGATAAACTGTTTATAAAGTAATTCTTAAATATATTATAACTAGATGATTTCTGAAGTCAATTTGTTTAAACTTTTGAACTGGTTTCTTTAAAGTTTAAACTGCAGCTTACATGACATTTTTACAAAATCATTATGTAGGTTTAGAGGGCTTGGCCTTTTCTTTTTGCTGGGCCAGGCAATACTGACCACGTCAGAAATGGACAACTTTGACATTGATTTGATTCCAATTAATTAAAGGGAAAAATTCGTAACTAAATATGAATAAATAACAAATCCATATTTTACTGTAATTTATATAATTATATTTGATTTACTTTAAGTTGGATATATTTAATCAAAACTACTGACTTTAAACTTTCCAAATTTTTGTTTTTTAACTGATACAGCTCACGCATATCTCGAGTTCAAATTGATGTATTGTGGCTCAATTTATGGGTTTCAAATTCAATTAACTCAAACATTCATTACAAATTGATTTATTATTCTGAAATTCCTGTCATATCAATCTAGATTTATCTGTTTAGATCATAATAGCTACCGTACACTCATTATTCATACAAGTCCCTACGTCAAGTCTAGGGAGGGTCTAGTATCTTGAAGAAAGTAGAGGAGACCTTGACAATACGAAAGTCCTCTGAACTCCACCTAATGGTTCTCAAATGATCAAAGATAGGGGTTGGCTACAAGTCCTCGGCAGTTCGAGGCGTCTATAGAACCTCGATGCATGACTTCGACCACTGGTGTTGCTTATGTGGTCCACAGATGGTTCAGGTCCTCGTCTATTATTCTTAAATACTAGGGTTTAGCTTCAAAGAGCCATAGACAAATGTTATACTACAAATTGCGGCTTGAAATCATCCCATGAGTGAAGGCCAAATAAAGGTTAATTGTAAATCCTTGTTTATTCAATGCGTTTGTAAGTCCTTGAGGCCTAAGATCACAAGACTTTCATAAGATGAAGTCGATAGGGCACCTTTATGTACACGCTCACTTCAAAAACAAGCTCTTGATATTTTTCAATTGAATGTCAGCAAAAGCCTATGGTTATCTTGATAAAAACAAATTCGTAAAGCGAACTTACATCAGTAATGAGTGTGCTAAGACCACCGCTATAAGGCCTTGACACTTTGATTCATGATCATCCGATGACAATGAGAAGGGATGGCTGCATCTCCATAGTGATTCTCGATAACTGCCCAACCAATGAGCATCGATATAAGGCCATCACCATCAAATCAAAATCTAAGGACATGTCGTAGAGCTAGTTTACAATTCGAAAGGCTTTATCTCCATGGAGATGTTCTCTAGAGACCCAATGAAGAAGTTGAAATCCTATCTAGATTTCTCTCCATTAGCTCATTAAGAATTATCAGTTCTTTTTATATTTGAAGACCCCAATAGAGGAGCTCTTAATGAGTTCTTTTATATTTGAAGACCCAAATAGAGGAGTTGAGTTCCTGTCTATGCCTCTCCATTAACTCGCATAGGATATTTATATAAAGTTTCGACAAGAAGGATAAGCTCAAAGTCCGTCATGGTCTTATCTTCTTTAGTCCTGCACTAGCCAAATCATTAAGGGATTGAAAATATATCCCAATAAAATGAAACATGTAGGGGAGATGAGATAAGAACCCTTAATCGACATACTCCTTGTAACTATACGAGAAAAACCTATCTCAGGATTGGAAGAGCACCCCATTTTAATAAACGTAGTGGATTGAAAAAGTATTCGAGATCAGAATTCATTGGACTAAAAATCCTCTATATTAGGCCCAGAATATTTGGGATCGGATTTCTTGCCAAAATATTAGGAATTTTTTTTTTAGCACAAATGTCTCGTTATCGACAAGCACATCATAATGCCAACTAGGAAAATCCATGAGGTAAGTAAAAATTTGAAATTTCAGCATTAGCAGCAGCAAAAGCATCAAACTACTTCGTTTGAAATGAATATGAAACTTGAACTTCAGAGGGCTAATGTTACGCGTCGCTATAATTGTTGTCCAAGATGGCTCCACATCAGCCCCAGAGAACCCCATTACTTGCCCACAAAGGTACCAAGCCAGCTCTAAAAGAGCCTCATTATATGGCAGCGTGTCCACTATTATTTGCATCAAGCACGTCAATGACCTACGAAAGCATAAAACACATCGACCCCCAAAGCACCATCTAGCAAGACACGCCTGACCCTAGCACTTGAATTGAGGAACACTTAGAAACATCATTTGAAACGACGAAAATAAAATACTCGACTTGTTCTTGGACATATATGCCATCTTTTGCGTGCAGTTTGACGCAATCAAATAAGTATATCTTGCATGCAAACCCGTGTATGTCCATAACAAATAGTATAATTAGTGTCATGAAAACACAAAACTCAACCAAAATATTAAAACTTGGACTTAATTATGATTTGAGCAAAATGATGAGTGTTTCCTCTTACAAAAATGAATAAAAATCCCTACAAATAATCTAGAAAAGAGCTGTTAACGTAACATAAAAAGGTTGAAAATCACAGGATTAAAACGTTAAAGGAAGAAAAAGCTTAGAAATACATTCTTCTACTCTAAAATATGCCTCGAATCAAAACAAAAATTAGAGTCGACGCTCTTGAAAATTTTACCATTCTCCAATTAAAGTGCCATTCCCAATTGGAAATCCTTCGAAGACTTCTTCTTTTTTCCTTCCAACAAAAAGTTCACCCCAAAACTAACAAAAAAATTCCACATCTGCCAAAATTCTGACAGAAAAAATTTCACTGCAGGCATTAAAAACGATGTCTCTTATGTTAGGTCAACTATTACCATCAGACAAACAATTTCAACCTTTTGCCTATAAATAGCACCATTCCACAAAGGACAAGTATGTCCAATCTCTTTCAACATATTTTTTTCCCTTAGTATACATATAGTGATTGTTTGGTGACGATTTTAAGTCAATTAAGATCAATTTTTTGATCATTATTTTATTATTTCAGTCGTCATTTTTTAATTTTTTTTCTCACGGGTAGAACCCAATTTATCTCTAACGGTAAAAAAATTAATTCTCAAAATCCCTACAAAAAAAGCTCATATTCTTCCTAGACTGAACAATCACTATTTTGACCATCGAATGTTCTATTATCCGCACGACGCCAGTGTCCCCTAAGATTCTTTAACTATTCTTTCTTCCTGAGTTTTAACAGAATTTCTGATGGCCAATCATTCCTCTCTTTTCAATTGAAGAAATATGTTGTCTACAATTTCAAATCAACTACGAGAATCATTTTTGTCACTCTAATCGGTTCATTTTATAATGAAAAAAATAATAAAACAAAATAAATTACAATATTATGACTCGTCTCATAAAGATAATCTATAAATATTGAATTACATATAATTATTAAAATTTTTATATCAAAACCATAACTGTGTAGACAAATTAATGTTACATAACACAAACCGTAAACTAAGTAAAAGTGTTACAAGGTGCATCGATCAGTTTCCTTTTCATTAGGTTGACTCAAATACCACATTTGCATTAGGCAACCAGGAAGCACCATCAATGAGGGACTGTACAGTATATTTTGAGGCCTCCGTCAGCGTAAGAGTGGGCTTAAATCCAGCCCATTTAACCCTATTGGCTACACTCGATCCCGGCCCAGTATTCCGATACTCGGCATAGAAAATGCTACTCGGAGGATCCACATTACTGACCCATGAAATCCAGCCTTGTGGTCTCAAGAACCCACCAATTTCAGTCTCCATAATAACTGTCGTAGAGAAATCCTTCCAGGGCCGGCCCAAATACGTCGGGGCCGTAAGGTTGTCCAATGGGCTCATGGTACATCTTTGAATAGACATGCCACTGTTTTGATTAGGGTCCTTCTTGCCCTGGGCAGTTATGGTCACAAACTGATTAGGCAATGGCTGTCTGGGCATAATGTTGCATTTTTGTAGCACCACAGCCGAGTTGCCGAAGATGAAGTCGATGGTACCGGTGATATCACACTCGCGGTAAAATTGGCGGTTTGAGTGTGCGTAGAGGGTGTCTTGGAAACCGTCGAATGAGCATTGGTAGAACACGGACATATCAGAACCGGACCTTAGGGCAACTGCCTGATGCTTTATTGCTCCGGCCGTGTTTTTGAACCCGATATCTCTTGCGATGAATCCTTTGCCCGCAACAGCTGGTAATGATAAAATATAACATTCATCAAATTTCCAGCAACTAGAAATCAGAAAAATAAAATAAAATTAAGTGTTATACTTGTATCTAAAAGATGATTGCCCCAAGTTACCTTGTTTAGCTTTGACAAGTTCATCAAAATGTTTTTTTAATTACATTACTAATATCAAAAGAATGAGAATGTGTCAAAGGAACAAAGAAAATTAAAAACATTAAACTAAATTATTCACGTTGGGACCAATCTTCCAATCAAGGTAGTGGCACAGCAGGCCGCGTACTGCCCAGTACAATCTTTATAGAGTCCAACTTATCAATATTTTTTTATAGTTGCACATTCAATTCTTTAGAAAAATCTTCAAAAATTTCACTAAACCGTTACATGTCCAACTTTATAAAACTAGGGTTAGTTTCCCATCTTGGATTTAAGTTCGAAAAAATTGAAAAAAGAATGTTTCCATGAAGACCACGTGACGATTTGAAACTATTATGAAAAGTTGAGAAGCAAAACTCATTTTCAAAGATCAGAGACCGACTTGTTACTTGGACAAATAAATTAAGGACTATCAGAAAGATACATATAAATGAAAGAAAAATGAAATTACATAAAAATGGCTAAGTGATCTCAAGTAAGCACTACTACATAATTATCTGTTGGAGCCGGAAGAAATAATTATGCAAGCCTAAATTGCACATGGTGGGGTCTGGATTTTGGGGCAAACAACCAGTGTGTAGTTGGAGAGATTAACGCATCATGTCACATGGCAGCATCAGATCAAAGCCATGTGGTTTTTTTAGGTGAAGTGTTTCCTAAATTCTGTTTCTTAAGGCCATCACCATCTACTTAGGGCCCCGGAATTTTCACATTTTATGTTATAACCCCAATTAAAATTTTCCAAGTTTGATATAAAAGAATAAATTTTAGACAAAGTCACGTGTACATCATTTAAATCTTATCTTCAACACGTTTTATCATGTGTAGGCATGATTTTTTTTATTAAAACTTTAATAAATAAGCGACTACGAGACTCGAACTTAAAACCTTTGTTTGCCCTAGTACTATATTAAGTCTAAATTTCAATAATTAATTTTAAACACATATTTAATTGGACCTACAATTTTTCGACCATATAATTTCTATGAAAATCTATTAAAAGTTTAATTTTAATTCTCACCAAATGGGTTAACACCTAAAATTTTAACTTAAAAGGCCAATTTTCTTTTTCCTTTTACTTTTTCTTCTTTTTTTTATGGACAAAAAAATAAGAAAATCAATAACAAAAAAGTAGATTAAAAGAAGTGTGAAAGAAAATTTACCAAATGTGGCTGTGGAGAAAGTTGGGGTACCATCGACGAAATTCAAGCTGCCGGAAATAATGGTGGCCGTCTTTCCATCGCCGTAGATCATAACATTCCACAGAGATTTATCCAAAATCACATTCTCTACATACTCGCCAGCCTTAATATATATAACAAATCTTGTTTTGCTCTTCTTTGGAATCTTTGCCACCGCCTCTTTAATAGTCTTCACATCGCCGCCGTTTTTTGCCACAGTCACATCTGGCCTCGGCATCGCCTCCTGGAGGAGCCTCCGGTCACCGGCCGGAACCCAACTGGGAAACCCAGGATCCATACTACCCAAAAGCTTTCTATGAATCGGAAAACCAAAATCTCGAAGAATTCCGAGCAGTTTCGACACAATGGCCAAACTATTGCTAGCGTATTCAGTTGAATTCTTCATCAGAAGCTTCACATCTTCAACTATAGTCGCATTCACTTCATCGAGAGCATCTAGGCACGTTTCTTGATCTGTGATAATCGTGCTTAGCCATGTTTTTAGATCGGCGATCTTGGGTAATGAAATCAACTTCTCTCCATTATCCACATTCATGGAGGAAATAGAATCGTTAAGATAATCCACAGCTTCATCCAACACGACATTACAGACTTTCAGCGCCTCTTTAACCCGGGGATCATTGGTTCTGTTCATCCATTCCTCTGGGAACGTAGACAATTTCCCAAGAGAATCCATAACTAATTTTAAAGAAAACTGAAAAATATTTTCCGGGTCAGTGGAATTTGACGAATCCATTGATGACAAGCTCGTTAAACACGATTCTTTATACTGGGTCACACTGCAAACAGCTTTGATTGCAGCTGCCGATGAAGTTGGAGTTGAAGGCACTTCATTGGAATCATTTTTGTTCTTGCTATGAACAAGAGTTCCAACTACTACTCCAATAATCAAAACAACCAAAACAATTAATGAAATGCCGAGAATAATCAGACGCTTACGGGTTTTCCTTCTGAATGCAAGTTCTTCCTGTGGATCGACTTTTCCATAGCCCTTGAACGACTTGATCGTGTCCATTGGAACAAACCAACTCACAAAACTAGATTTTCAGTATGCCTTGGAAATGGGGAATTTTTGATAAAGAAATCGGTGGATTTAGAGTTTTGGGCCTTGTCGTGTGTCTTTATTCGGTGGTGGCACGGCACTTTATAGTACAGTAGGGCAAGGGAGGAGTAGGGTTTGGGGGAAATTGGTGGTATCACGTTTGTTCATTGTTTAGAAGTTGATAGCTTTCACAATATTATTAAAACAAGAAACGCGCTTTTGTATTCTAACCTTGTATTCCTTCTTCTTTCTTTGCCTATTAACTTTAGTACTTTATATTACATTTTGATTTTACTTTCATTACTCTCACACGTAAATCGGGTATTTAGAACAGTGTGTGGCATTTTGTTGGGATCTCCACATTAGGAGAAGATGTATAGGAAAGACTCGAGCAACTTATTAAATATTGACACTCTTAGCAAGAGAAAATATAAAGTGAAAGAATATGGATTGGATTGTGTGGAACTTTGAGATTGCTTGATCAAGGGAGCGGTTGATCCATGAGTTATATCGAGTCGATCGAGCAAGGATTAATAATTTAATAAGAATGATGACATGTGTAAGATAGTTTTATGAATTTGATGAAACATGGTCGTTCTTGGATAGATTCATACCTTTCTACTTGAAGTCAAAAGAATATGCCAGGTACGCATTTGTTCGCTCATGACGACTTTGAAGAAATTTTAGATTTCCCAAATTTTGGATACAGTCACAAACTACCATACTGTCTTCATTAAGTAGAAGGTTCGAAAGTGACCAAGAGCCCGAGAAATATTTCGGTTAAGAATGATGACAATGAGTTGAAAGGAACGTCAAGAGTAGTTACTAGTTCGGTTAACATTTCATTTCATTATATTACTGTCTTCAAACGGGTTAAATTTTTCTATAATGTTTTATTTTTGTTACTAATAAAAAATATGCCACCTAAGAAAAAAAAAAGATATTTAAATGAATATCTTTTGTGCAATCAAAGAGAATGCCACTCTTTAATAATTCTCTGCTCGGTCGTTGTCGATTGCTCGATCCTTACTTAGTTACTTTAACGAGTAAAAACAGCTTGATACAATTAGAATCTATGGCATTAGTAATAAAAGGCGATATCTATTGTTTTCAATTTGACAATACAATTTTATTTTTTATTATTATTATTTTTTTAATCTCTAGCCCCACACGTCTCTGACGTAATTATTTAGTTTGACCTGCTCTTTGGAGATTAATTATACTACACACAAGAGTACTTAGTCCAATTAATAACTGAAAGCGATGGTACAGTGGGCTACTGTAGTTGTACCCTTAATATCGGGCTTCCATTAAATACCATTTACGCGGATATAGTTGTCGTAAATAACCATTTGGCAATGTGAACAACACACCGTCCCCACGTCTTTCAAATATATAAAATTCGCAAAAAAATATTTATGAATGGATATTCTGTTACTTGTTAAACTCCGTCTGAATTTCATTACATTTCATTTCATTTTTCTGTCTCCTATTTTTAATTATACAATCTCCCATAAAATAATATTACACGAAAATCGAAAATTTTCATTTTTATAACCACTCATTTTAAAAAAAAATTATTCTACCCATTTTCATTTCTAAGAAATAAGGGCCAAATAAGGGCTTAGTGTTCAAGATGAATGCATTTCTCATCTAAGTTATGATTCAAACTTCTTTTTCTTCAAATAGATGACCACGAGACTAAAAAATCAAACCATATGTTGTTTTAAATATTTTCAGTGAAATCGAATATCACCCTTTGTGCAAAGAATCACGGACCGTAGAATATATAAGTATTGAAGTTTCATATTGCTAACTATGTGTTTGAATCAAGTCGAGATGTAAATATTTATTTCTATTATTTCGATATAGTTCCAAGAATGACCAAATTAGAAAATATTTTTTTTACAATTAAAAATATTTGTGTTTTTTTTTTCTTCAAAAAATAAGGTAATGATAAAATGTGATTATGATTGGGATCACACTGTCTTGCATGTTTAAGTGAATCCCCCAGCGCTGATTGCGCCTCTCCACTCGGAAGATGTTGGATAAATTTCCATATGCGGTCACTGAACTTTTATTGATGATCAATTTAGTCATTTAATTTTAATTTAACTCAAATTTTTTTTTTATGAAACTTCGATTTAGCTTCACAAAATATATTTTCAGCCACACATTTTTTCATAAAATAACATTAAACGTAAATCCAAAACTTTTTCTTATTTTTAAACTACACATTCTCTAAAAGATCACTATTTCCAAATACATGTTTGCCCAAATTCTCATTAGAATAGAGCTCAAGCAGGAGATTAGTACATCTAGATAAACGTTGATGAAATGTGTAGTTAAAAAGTTGATAAAAATTATGAATCTCACGAAATGTATAATTAAAATTAATTGTTAACTTTGAGTTACATTTTTTTTTTAATCTAAACCAAACAGGAGTTTAATTAATAGCCATAACATAATTGATCTTCAACATCACGAAACAAAAATAGTGAAATAAAAGTCATGACAGTGTCTTTAGATCAAAAGTTAAAATGTGTATTTGTTATCTAAAAACTTTTATGATGTTGTGTAATGGTAAGCTGGCAAGTAATAATGCAATTGAGTGAAATATACATTACAATATGACTGGCAATTGAGCAAATATACAACAAATAATAATATTGTGGTCAAATTTGAAACTGGAATTGAAATTCATCGATCGAACTGAAATTAAATAGAAGTTCAATGATCTAATTGAAGCTAGTTAAAGTTCAATAACTATATTGAACTTTTACATAGTGACGGTAAATAATAATTAAAAAATTACCATAACCTTCTTGAGGCTTTTAGAATGCTCCGAAAGTCCCATACAATTCTACCAAAATCGCTCTCAGATGGTTCAAATGAAAGAAAAACAACATGCACGCCATTCACAGATAGAGAAATTAATTCAATTTTGTCTCATATCCTTGTCAGTATTTAAATTTATATTTTTTCTACTTTTAAATATCGTTGTTCTCATACGTTTTTGTTTATGTTTACGTAGTGTGTATTTTTTATATTTGAACCAATTCAATTTTGTCTCATATACTCGCCAGTATTTAAGTTTGTGTTTTTATCTACTTTAAATATCGTCGTTCTTATATATTTTTGTTTTATGTTTATATGTTTACATTCTACGCAGGGGCGGAGCTAGGAATTTTGTCAGTGCGGGCAAAATTTAATCAAGGTGAAACTTTTCGGTTATGGATTATATGATATTACGTCAATACTAAAAATAACTTAGTGACAACACTAATAAGATAATTATCTTCTTCCTTATTCTAGGATCTGAAGTAAGTTGTGCAATATCAAAATTCATTTTATTCGATATCTCCGCATCAACATTTTCTATGAAATATTTCTTTTAAAGAATCTTTACATTGATATTTCACACTAAAATAAACCACAAGTGACAATTAAGTACTAATTGATAAGAAAAGAACTACTAATTTTTACAAATTGGTAGAACACCATAAAATCATCACTAATTGACAAAAATCAAAATTTCAAGAATCCATCACAAATATGACCAATATTCAACATTCACATAATCAAAATCGTTAATATTAAACAAAAAAAATCACAAGATAAAAAAAAAAATTTGCTACAAATTTAAGGACCCAAGAAAATGTGGGTTTTAGGAAATAAATGAACTTTGAAAATATTTCAAAACGAAGGGAGATTTAAAGAAATTTTTTAATTTCTTGCTAAAGGGAAAGAGTCAGAAAATGTCGCTGTGCACTTGGAGTTGGGATAAATTAGTGTATGGACTAGACTATAAATAAATGAAAAACATACTTCCAAAAAAAAAAAAAAATTGGATTGACCATGGGCCTGGGCCAAAAGTCCAGTGCGGGCATTTGCCTGCACTGGACAGTACATGGTTCCGCCCCATGATTCTATGTAGTGTGTATCTGCAAGTGTTGGGTTGCTGAATTTTGTGAGTCCAGCCCGATTATCTCAAAGCTGGTTTATTTTAAGCCCAAATAAATGGTCCAGTTTGATGACCCGCAAATGGAAGAATCCGGAATTGTTAAAACCGTGTTTCAACAAACGCGTATTCAGTTCAAAAGGCGGTCTCCTTGGATTGATGACAAGTGGCAGGATTGGTATCGTTGGATATTTCACTCTCATATAAATATGGGTCTTGAGACTTTAAGGTTACGATCGATATCATTTTGAGGGTTTTCTTGATTGCATGCCTTTAGTCTTCTCTGTTTGATCTTGTATTTTTTTGTATTCCAGAGAAAATTGTAGAGAAACTCTTGTGTGAGTTTGCTTTGTGGGAAGATTGTGTTGCATTCGTGGTTTGAGAACTCTGTATTTTGTAACTCGATTTTTACCTATTTTGGTCGGTATAGTAAATCGAGCTTAATCCTTTACGGATGTTCAACGAGGGACTAAGTATTAGAAGCGGTCGTTGACCCTTCGGGGCCTTTGGCAGAAAAATCTCTCGTGTTCCTTATTTTCTTGTTCTGTGTTTGAGAAATATTGATTTAATGCGTTGAGTATTTTTGTTTAAACTCGATTCTGGACCTACAGTGGTATCAGATCTTGGAAATAAATAGGCGCTTTTGTCTTTTGAAATCCGGTTTCTGAACTACCCTATTCTTGCCTTTGTCTAGGGGTCCCTTAGAGAACCCTAAAATCTGAGGGAATCTAGGGATTACTGGTTTAAGAAATCATGAATTATTTCGTCGTTTTATTTCTTGTTATTGATATCGTGTGTATGCCTATAATCTGGAATTTACATTTTGTAATTAAACTGCTAAATGATATAAACCTATGATACTATTTATAAGTTTGTGTTCCATTTAGGGAGAATGCCTCATTGCATGTATATAATCCTACGAAGGTATACATACTGAGATTTCTTTTCTTTTCTACTTATTGAGTGTAAATATAACTGCCCATAATATTTTACTGTATTACTTATTATCTAGAATCTTTGGTGTTTGACTTCCTTATTTTGTGATTATCATATCTTGTATTGATCTGTATGACATAAGTACACATCACACTTG